ACCCGATTGTCTGATTTATTACCATGTTAAGAAGTTGTTTTCCATTTTTAGTACAATAAATGATAAAGTATTATAAAGATTAAATAAAATTTCGTACCATCAAATTGACATATATCCCTTTTTATAAAATAATAGTAGTAATGATAGTGATAACAATAATAATAACAGTAATAATAATAAGGTGACAGTAGTAAAGGTATTGATGACATATAACAACAATAAATTCATAGCATTATTTTAGTAATAACTGTATATATTATTGAATAATGCATTCAAATAATGTAATCAAATTAAGAAATTAAAAATTAAATTGAAAGGAAATAAAAAATTGATGTTTTCTTTACATTACATGTATATGTGATGTATTTTCAGAATGAATTAATACGAAATATGTGTGGAGAAAATGAAACGATTAATGGATTGGATGTAATACAAAGTTACTATCAGTACGATCTGCTCGATCAGTTGCGTTCATTAGTTGAGAGTTCTACCGAGCATTTGTATCCATTAATGTGTCGACTTTACCTTCCACTGCAATATCATTTAGAAGTAAACAATTCCTTTCTTTCAGTTTATTCAAAAAATAAACACTGTAAATCGCATACCGTACAACGTAAACGACCAGATACTGTAAGTGAATACGGTAGTTTAAAATTATGCAACATTTATAAAGCAAAGTATTACGACAGAACATTTTTGTCGACAGAAATAAAACAATTTTGTTTAGATAGTGCAATGTTTTAGTACAGTATCGGTAATATAGTACATTAGCTTAATCACAGTGATTAATTATTTCGCCATATAAGCGATTTACTAGTTTAAAGTAATGAATTTACCTCAATAAAAATTTTGAGTAATTTTCAAATAATAAGATGCTAAATCTGAAATTCAATTCTCAATATTCATATATTCTATTAATTACATTTAAATGGTTTACTGCAATAATTCTACCTCTATGCTAAAATATGAATTTATCTATATTAAATTTTTATAATATTTTCAAGTTTTAGCTAACGAACGAAACCAATAATGAAATTAAGCAATCACTTCTAGCTATTAAGCGTGCGGTAAGCAGTATCGTTGAAATGATCGCCAAATTATAATTATTTATATTGGAATTATCATGATCCGTCTACGATCATGATTATAAATACAGTTGCTATATGTGTGAAGTATAGTGAAATATATTTCGAATGATTGAAAAATACTTGATGAAACATTCCAAACTAATTTTCAATTAATTAATATCATTTTATCCTTTTTTTCTGCTTTGCTTATTTTCATGCCTGTTTTTAACAAATATACATGTAAACATTTGGTTGAAATATTTTTGATAATTATTTTTGCGATTAAACAAATTTATTTATCGTATTCTTCAATAATAATAAATCACATGACAAAATTAGCATCTAAGAAGTAGTCCATTATCAGTGTGATAAGTTTTTGATATATCTAATATTTTCAATTCAAATTTTTGCTTACTGCTATTCTCTCTAATAAAAGTTATACAGTAAAATTTTCAGCAAATATCGTAAAATTTATAGGCCATGAAATTTGTTACGATATCTCTTGAAACTTTTTTATTTGTAAGTAATTTTTAGTGTTAACATTATAAAAGTTTATTTTTAACACCATGAAATATGCTAAATTCTTTTGCTATCATAACGGTATGTATAACAAAACTGTTGCGTTTATAATTATAAGTTAATAAATTGTTCAATGTCCAATGATTTGTTAACTTTCTTTCCTTTTTTTTCATTCTTTTTTAATTGAAAAATATAACGGAATTTATTTGGAAATATTGCAAATTTAATTCAACGAATGTGATAAATTATCATATTGTTCAAAGTTGTAAACAAAAACGCATAAATTATTATCTTTAACAAGCCTTAACCTTTATTTTTGCATGTTTAACATATTTTAGGTAATCAAATACACATTTACAAGAACATAATGTCATACCGGCAAATGAACGAAATGATTTTAAATGATTTTTCGTTTTCTTTTCTTGGAAAGACAAGTAATATGGATAATTTGTAAAAATAGTTTTAAAAAACACTTGAAAAAATGAAAAATTTGAAAAAACAAAACTACAGCAATTGTTAAGAGAAAATTCGGAAAAGATCAAAAAACGAACTACCAACTTACGAAAAGAACACATCTGATGTTGCTGGTTTTAAATAAAGGTAAAAAGGATAATTTGATCAATTAATTAGCTAAAAATTTTTCGAGTTTTTTCCGAACAATTAATTAGCTAAAAATTGTCCGAGTTTTTTCCGGGATGTCAGAGAACAAATTTTTCATTTGCAGATAGTTGAAACAATGATGATATTCGAACTATTTTCTACCCGATGATTCAGTGATGATAAGAGTTATCAACCGTTACTCAAAGTTTAAATCGAAGTGACTAAGTTTAAAATAAGTCTTCAGTCTTTTTTGCAATGTAATTTAGACAGATATGCAAATTTTCAAATCAAATATAGAAGTGTATGTGATTAATTAGTTTTTGCGAATATTCCTCGGAGTAATTTGTTAGAAAAGAAACAGTAGCAGATAAAAAGACAGAGTAAAATTAAATGTTCAAATTTCCTGAATTCAATCGAATCAATCAACAAAATCGATAAGTCGATAACATATATATCTGAACAATCAAAAACATTTGCCTGTCAAAAGACATTTTTTTGTTGTTCGATGTTCTTTAACAATTTTAACAATTTTAAAAAATTAATTGAGATGCAAAATTAGAATGGCAAAGACGTTGTATGGCATGTTGGAAAATTATTTAAGAAATTATTAAAAGAGAAGAAAAATGCATTAATATGTAACTTAATTAATTAATTAACAATTTTGTAATGCTATTGAAAACATGAAATAAAAAGATGTGCATTGTCAAGCTAAAGTGAATAATAAATTTGTAAAAGAGTGTGGAATATTTGATAATAGCAGTAAAATTAAAATTCAGAGCTAATTTTTGTTGCATTTTCTTTCTTACTTTTAGCAAAATAATTTAAGTGCGTTTTAGAGTCTAAAACTTAATTATATTTATAATTGGATGAAGGAAATGAATGCAAAAAGCAAACAAAAGAAGAATTAAATTTACAAATTGAAGTTGAAAATTTTTCAATATCTTATTAAAAGAGGCAATTCAAATAACAAAATATTGCAGTAAATAAAAAAAAATAAATGAGTTCAATTTGATATTTAAAAAAGAGAAAAAAAGAACAAAATTGAATATCGCAACATTTTAAGATAAATGATTAAAATATAATAATTAATAGAAAAACCATATATTATAGCTATTTATAGGAATGTTTAGCAAATATATTGGAAATGAAATATTAAATTAATTAACGCTTAATACAACAATTAAAACAACAATTAGCACAACAATTAGATAGGACAATAAGAAATACGGGAATAATAAAGAGGCCATGTAGTAGGCCAAATATTGTTGTTAATATGATTGCTTTTGATATTACAGCATAAATTCCTATAGGAGCAAACAATACCGGAAACATTATAAGAAATGTTGATATGCCAGCCTGAAAATTTTGCTTTTTATTAAAAAAAAATGTTTTAAATTTTTTAATTTCTTAAATTTTATATTTTAACTGGTTGAACAATATTATCAATAACAAATTTTTAGCATGGCTTAAAAAATATTTTAAACTTTATACCTCAACTAATTAAAAAATGTTATTAATGTAAGAATTAATAAATTCAACATAGCTTATATTAATTTATAAATTGTAAATAACTCTAACAGTTTCCCTAAAAATTCAGCTAAACTACTAAACTATTTTTGATTAAATTTTTATTAAATTAAATTTTTCATTGTCTTAAATGTTACCTTCCCTACAAAATATATAACCGTTATTTGTCCTAATAAAATCAATGCATTAATAGAAAACAACGAAAAGCTAAATATAAAATTTTGATTTTTACATAATCAAATCAAAATCATCAAATTGTATGATTTTAATTAAAACTTATAAAGCACTGAAAAAAGGGATAAATGAAAAAAAAAATGCTGTGTTTGTCATTAAAAAAAAGAAAAAAATTTTTAATGAAATTATTTCAACAATCAATAATTACTTCCAGCATTGATAAGGCACATGCTTCAAATGCAGCATTAATTCGTTGAACATTATCACTATAACCATTTATCATGTAATGAAAAATGATATGTGCAGCATAATCAGTGCTTAAGCCAGCTGTCATCAATATTGCTACCATTAATATTGGGTCCAAAAAGCAATTCCAATATTGTAAGAAACCGATAACACCTTAGAAATACACGAGTCTTTTAGCATTTATTTGATTAAATTTTCAAGCATTTAATTTATTAATTCAATGATTTTATTTTATTCTTACACTATCAATTTGTGTTTGAATTAAATTAAAAAGAAAATCGAAAAAAAATATCATTTGTTCATTATGCATTATGATTTATTAGAGAATAGCATAATTTTTGGCGTAAATTAAAAAGTTTACAACAGTTTTTTTTTTCTAAATTTACAACATACATATATTTGTTTGCTTAAAGACAATTTCATTTAAAATATAACTTACCCGTAGTAATTGATGCAACTGATAACATAGCAAGAATGGATGCAGCGACATTAAAAAAAAAAATAAAATATACCACACCTATTGCACCAAATGTAAGTATAACTGTACTGAAAATTTTAATTTTATTAAAATTTGATATTATTCGTAAAAGGTTGTGCTTAGATATTGTATTTCAAAAAAATTGATTGAAAATTGCATCTTTTTTTTAAAATTTATCATCAATTTTTTTTTCCAAAATTATTGGTGGAAAAAAAAACCCGCAATTACTCGATAACAACAATGAAAAAATTTTTTCTGCTCGATAGCAATTTGATAATAATTAAACATTTTCGCTGCTTCATGTATTTTTTCCCCTAATTTCATTCGAAATTAATTAAATTGCGAATTAATTTTTTACTATTTCGAATAAAATTAGATATATTAATACATTTGGTCGATTGCTAAAATTGAAGATTTAGTACGTTTGTGCACAAATTTAATTTATTATAAATAATAAATTGAAATTTTACTTGAAAGTAGTAGAAGGTACAGCTAATATAACGTCAACTAATTCAGCGTCTGTATCAAATGGTATCATATCGTATTGCGTATAACGTGCGCATGTTTCACGACATAAACGTAACAATTTTGCTTTATCTGATAACGATGAGGTACCATTATAACCCATTATCAATAACATGGATGTTATCACAATCCTTTAAAAAAGAAAAAATTATCAAATATTATCATATGTGTGCAATTTTTCTTTTTTTTAAAAAAAAAAAGGAAATATTTTTTGGTTTTATATTCACAGTGTAAAAGATAAATGTGAGAAGATAGCGAAATATTGCTAATTTTTAACAACTGCACATTATTTTCAATAATAATTATTATTTATTACCATTGTTTTACCATGACTATTATGATTTCTTATCCACTATTAATCATTAATGTTAGAGAAAGAGAAGGAAAAGACAAAGATTAATACTGATTTGAAAATAAAAAAAAACAACAAAATTTCAATTTGAAGAAAAAAAACTTTTTATGAATACATTTTACCGTTTTCATAATGTATCATTTACAATATTCAATTACTAAACTAGATTTGACATATATTTTAATCTTTAATTTCGAATTCTTAACTCAGTTAGCACTTGTTGTGCAAGAAAAAAATTTTTAATTTTTACCTATTTTGTGAATCTCGCATATAGCGAGTACCTATTTTCCATGCCGTATATGGATCGGTATT